ATGTCATGATTCCTACTTAGAAATGTATATACTATCATAACTTTATCATCTTTCATTGTGGCCTTTTTCTCAGCTTCAAGCTGCCAAAAGCAACATATCTTCTGCTACACAGCACCTACGAAAATCCAACAATTTATTTTCAATTCCTCAATTTCTACAGGCACGAGCAGAAAAAAAGCATACTGCTAAAAATCTTAACTGCAATATATGTCTATATTTCTGAGATGAAGTATTGAAACTATTTACATTTTTCGGACTGTTGTCCTCATCTTTATTGTTATATTCACGACGTTTCAGCCGATGTAGGCTCCGGCCTTCTTCAGGTGAAATACGTCTGAATTTCGAACCTAAAGAAGGCTGCAGCGTACAACGGCCGAAACGTCGTGAATATGAGAATAAAAACGAAGACAACAGTCCGAACAAGTTCTTGTAAATCTTAACGTCTTAATAAAATGTAGTTTTATAATCATTTTATGTACTTGGCCTAAATGTTTTTTTTTGACAATTTTTGACAACTAAGCGGAGGATGTTGGTCTGTAACTGTAACAACCAAGTTATGATAATCTCCAGATAAAGAAAAGGTAACAGTAGAGATCAATGATCGATTTTGTCATTAAGAAAGACGGCACATAAAAGTAAGAGTGTAGAAATGAAAACAATTGCTTTGAAAAACGCTAATATTTAAAAGATTAACCACTAAACAAAGATAATTGAGCAAAGTTTCAAGTCTTGTCAATTTAACAAAATAGATTTACAATAATTTATGAAGTACGAACAGTGCCACTAATTCCTTTTCACACTTGGCGCTGACAGCTTCTTGTCATTCTGACAAAGCAGTCAAATAACTTATTTAAAATATTCAGAAAGTATTTCAGTGGTAATGAGGGCCAAAAACTAAACTTTGTAGAGAAAATTCCCGAGGGGAATATCCCCGCCATTTTTCCTCTTATTTAATCAGTGTACACTTATTTCTGCCAAGCCAAGTCGATCTCAGAATATTCTTTTCTTTGAAAAAGTAATTCCACAAAGTGCTTTTTATTGTAGAACTCCACTGGCTTCTTCATTTTTACCCCCAACGGAAATATTAAAAGAAAAACGGTGGAAATATATTTATCAGTTTACAGTAATGCTAAGTGGAAACAGGAATTGGCTAGCTGAGTTCAAATTCCTGTCTTGACTGATGCATTAAATTTGCATAAATACTCTTGGGTAAGGCACGAATCTATCTCCTTCGCTCATTCTAGCTATGGGCTAAATAGCAGGGAATACTGAACTCTTTAGCCTAGAATGGCAGCCATTTTTGGAGTGAAAAATTCTGATTATAAAACAACAAAGTAATGGAAAAAAAACATCCCTCTTACACCCCCACCACCCAAAAAAAACCTTATAGAAATTCAAATATCGTAATAATAATAATAATAATAATAATAATAATAATAATAATAATAATAAGCAGCAGAATATGTGGAGGGTCATTATCGTTTACGTCGTGAAAGGGCGTTTTCAAGATATATATCCGGAAGTATGAACATAAATGTGTTATCGGAAATTAACGTGACTATCCGTATTGTGAGTGCACCTTTTAACTAAAATGCGTACACCTGTAGTGATGATTAGTGCCCATTCCCAGGATTTACACTATTTACTCCTGTTCAGTTATTAAGTGAGTTTTTTGTAACATTGTGTTGGAATGATACATGTTCATATTGTCTTTTTACAAATTTTACCAAGTGTTCATTTTTTTTTTCTGTCAAGTTTCGACGTTGTTTAATTTCGGTAGATTCAACGGGATATGCAAGCTCTTTTTTTTTTACAGTAAGCTTCATTCTATACAAGGCCAGGGGGCCATTCCCGGTAGAGGGGTACGTTAAGTGTCAGTTTATACGGGTAGGCGGGGGATATAACGGTTAACCCGACACTTGAACAGGTTACCATTGTAGTGACTGGGGTCACATCCTCTTGGGAGTCGCTTCCACAGGGAAGTAGTGCGTAGGAAGAAGCTGTTCTTTAACTAAGTTCTCCCTGATGGAATAGGGAGGGAATGTTTGGTTGGCTTACAATATAAGTGGCATGGCGTGAAGGTTAGACATGTTGGCACCAAGGAATGTAGCTCGTCCGAGCACTTCCTATTATTTATGAGATATTGGCAGAACGTAACGGTCGTGCGAACTAAAGAAGGAAGGGATAAACATAATTATAATAAGAATGTTACAAAAGGCCATAGCTAGCAGCGTATATCACTGTAAAGATGACTCAATGTGTATGTCTTGTGGAGAGAAACAAGATAATATCACACATATAATAAGTGGTTGTAAAATGCTTGCACAGAGAGAGTACATGGCCGTATTTGCCTTAATATACGCTGGCTTTTTTGCAAAGAATATTGTAACAACGTGTTCAAGAGATGTTACAATCACGTACGACTGGGGGTAATAAAAGAAGAAGGTAAATCAAACATAGTCTGGATCTATGATTTTTATACAGATCGCGTTGTTGAATACCAAAGACTAGATATTGTTGTCCAACTGAAAATGAATGCCAAATAATAGATGTATCAATAGCTGCCGGGTAAAATACAACAGCAAAGCAAATAGAAAAGATTAGCAACTACTTTGAACTGAAGGGTGAGATTGCCAGATTGTGGAAAATGTCGGAGAAACAGGTTAACATTCTCCCAGTAGTGACTGGAAAACCTGGCTCATTCTTATTGAAGTCTAAAGAATATATCAACCAACTTCGTGTAAAATTCACTTTGGGAACGTTGCAAAAAACCCTGCATTATTGGGTAGAGAAAAGTATTGTCTGTCTGAGATGTTTTTTGACAGTGACAGGCCGAATTCTCGCTGGTACTTAACAACAGTAAGATGATATATTAATACTACAAATAATTATAATAATACGTACAAATATTTGGTGCATTTTCCCTGGCGAGTTCAACACATGGCTTCACTTTAGATTAATTAGAATCCTGGCGTTCAAAAGCGGTAGGATTATTTTAAAGCTTTATGGTGAACGATATTTTACTTCTAACGATGTGGTCTAGTTGTTTTCGTCGAAGCCAAACGCAATAAAATAGCCCAAATCTGCAAAATATATCGTAACTATAATTGTATTAGGGAAGATTTATGTTTTAGAATCCTGTAACTAATTTTGTCTATTCTTTCAGTTGCAATCAAACTCGTCTTTAGAGTAAAGAATAGCATGTTTGGTCTTTAGGGCATTCATATATCCATGCCTAATTGTTATGATATCGAAAATCCATATCCTGTCGATGAAAAATTACAAAATAAATCGCTAATTTCAAAGCATGTTGCAGATATATGGATGCCGCCATATTATTATGATTGGTTCAATAACGTATACCTCTTTATTGGTATAATTAGATTCGCTTGTAAACAAAGGCTAATGTTTAGCACGTCAAATGCGATCATTCATTTTTGCTTTGGGTTAAAAAAAATTAGAGCTTAAAGTTCCTTTATTTTGTCTATATTCTCATTTACTGACTGATCAGTTGATATTAACATCTCGCTTCATCTAACTATTTATCTATCTATTTCAGTCGGTTCAGATCTATCTATCTATCTATCTATCTATCTATCTATCTATCTATCTATCTCGTTTTGGTTTGGTTGGTTTGTTTTGTTTTGTGGCATATCAAACTCAATAGGTTATTTAATGCCATCAAGATTTTTATTGCTGATAATCATTTTTTTTACAAAGTATTTCTGGTATTAAAACCTATTTTTATAATTTCATAGTGTTTTGACCCAAATTTATCCATAGTTGGGACTCTAACATGTCCTACTACCCCGGGTCAGGGTGAACCTGGGAACACCAGAAATTAAGAGGTAATTCCACGCTCCTCAAAACCTCCTGATCAGAGGCCTTGCTGTTGGACGTAGTTTATCGTCTTACCCAGGAGGCGGATGTAGTTTATCGTCATACCCAGGATGGTATGCTTCATGGTGTCGAGTAATTGTCAGCGGTGCTAGTTTGGATGACAATTACTACTGAGTACTCCATGCTTAATTTCACATTAAATAATCGAAAAAGGGTTGACTTTACAAAAACGTAAGCCACCAATATCTATCTATCTATCTATTTATCTATCTATCTATCTATCTATCTATCTATCTATCTATTCATATCGGCTTGCTCACACATGGCAGATCTATCTATCTATCTATCTATCTATCTATCTATCTATCTATCTATCTATCTATCTATCTATCTATCTCATTAATGCAAAATACTAATTGGAACTTTCTAAACCGTCTCCCTGCTTTTAGACGGGTTTCGCTTACTCTGTCTATCCTGAATTACCCATTTGTATCATCAGTTGTTATTTGAAGCCAAGTCTGCTGTCCCAAATGCCAGTGTATATAACAGACATGTCCAGTTCAAATCGATGAAGTCAGTGAATTTTTCGAATGGTGCAGCTTTGTATCCAAATAGACTTTGCTACATAAATAGAAGAATGCGTACCCACGAAGTCATGTGCGTGCAAATATACAAAGAGAAATGCATCAGAGACGACAAAGGTCACGTCCATATCTGAGAGCAGTCGCTCACTGCCGTCACTCTCCTCCGTTCATACAATGTCTGACACAAACTGAATACAGATTTAATCTCTCGCACAGAGAGATGAATGTCCAAAGAAACGAGACTATATAAATACATATTTTCATGTGACACTCCCATAGATAATTAGGCACCAATACACGAACGCTCACACATAACCTGAATAATCACGCAATTTAACCGTATACTAAAAATCATACAGCGATATTCCGAGAAAAAATACAACGGATGAGATAGAGAAACAGACGCATGCGTCTTAATGTGACATACATAGACATCGATGGGGCTATACTGTGGTGATTATACATGCACACCCATATCATGTATATTTTTGGGTGTATAAATCAAGCTACTCTGATATTTCTAAAAGTATTGTTACTTTGCATCATGTTTGGTTGTTGCAAATAAATCTCTGGTTCACGGCCATATCGTGTTGAACCACCGTTTCTTGTACGATCACCGAAGTTAAGCAACGTCGAACCTGGTCCTTACCTGGATGAATGACCGCTTGGGAATACCTGGTGTTTAAAGCTTGGATGTGCGAGTGGTGTAATGGATAGAGGCTCGGAATTGTTAATCAGAGAGCCGGGTTTCAATTCCTGTTGGGTTCGTTATATTCACTTACGGGAAATACCCTTGAAAAAGGTATGAATACTCTGACTATCTATCTGAATCTTTTCATTATCTATCTATTTATCTATCTTGTTTTTAATCCCGGAGACTACCCTGGAGCATATAAGGCTGCAGCCTCACCACGTTAATGTGGCTTCCCTGGCACGCAGGTGGAGTTGATATCCCCAGGCCCAACCGGTTTTGAATACAGAGTCGACCGTCTAGACTGCTTCCCAACCAAAGCTACAGAGCCCAGTCTCTCCTGTCATAAAAACCCTAATTCAGATGTTAAAAGATTTGGATTCATGCTTTTGAAGCGTATTTGTGTAAAAACGAATGTTACAACTGCGGCTTTGATGTTTATATAGATGAATCCTACTGATGCATGCTGGGATTTCTTCCTCGCCAATAAAAATGAACAATTTTCGGTTTTACCACATATTTTTGACCTTTCTTGTCGTAAAGTTAGAAGTCTATAAACGCTTGACTGTATCCCGTTTGTATATGAATATCACTTCTTTGTTACTGTCGTATAATTGTTTTAATTTGCCTTGCATTTTCTTGTATTACGCTGTTCGTTTTACTCTGTCCTTTTTATTATTATATTTTCAATTCCATTCAAAAAATCCCCGCTTATTCAACAGTCTGCAGTTCGAAATCTAAACGCCAATCGTATTTCCTTCGCCGATAACCGCTGCACTACCCACACCGGCATATGTCAATTTGGAACAGTCTGAAAAGTTGTAAAGTAGTGCATCTATCTTCATCTGTCAATTTAGGAATGTAGAGCTTCCACCTCTAGATGAAGCCGTTATAAATTTTAAACTCATGGAGGTTTATGACCATATCACGTTTTAACAACCGGTTTTCGTATTATCATCGAAGTTAAGAAATGTCGAGCCTGCTCAGTACGTGGATGAGTGACCATTTTGTATACTAGGTGTTGTAAACTTGGATGTGCGGTGGTGTTATGGATAACAACTGGGATATTGAAAATCAGAGAACCATGTTCCAATTCCAGTTGAGTTCGTTACATACACTTACTCGCAAATAGCCATAGAAAAGATATGAACCATCTATTTTCCCTGCGCCTAACAATCGGTTATCATATTTATATCCAAAAAATCTTTTTTGGCTTTCAATAACTTAAAAAAAGGTTAATAAGCTGTTAAAATCGAATCAATCAATCAGTGAAATTATGGATACTGATTTTCGAGATTTGCATGGTATTGGCGCAGTATTGTCTTTTCTATCACATACATAAATTGTGGCTTAACTGTTTAAATAGATTTTATGCATCTATTTTTATAATATATCACTGTGAATATAAAACCCTAAATTGAATCAAGAAATATAATGGAAGCAGGAAATTATTCCTGTCATAACTACAACAATCCCAAAATAATATACATATATCAGAAAAAACTTCAGAAATAAAAAAAAATGTCTGTTCAAACAACTATTGTCAGGCACACACACACACACACACACACACACACACACACACACACACACACACATATATATATATATATATATATATATATTTAAATAAAAAGAAAGAACAGTAAGATATATAATCCGGTGTTCTTCTTCTCCAAAATTCGCTTGAGGATGAAATGGAACTAATGTTTTTAATTTAATTGCAAAATTAAATTAGTGGCTTTTTAGCTTCCATTTTTGAAAACATGGTTAGAACTGTGTAGCGAAAAAAAAACGTATTTTAAATCAATTTATAATATATATATATATATATATATATATATATATATATATATATATATATATATATATATATATATATATATATATATATATATATATATATTATATATATTCACACAATCGAACGCTCCTCTGTGACTCAATCTGTTAACGGCACGTCAGACTATATGACTGTTCCGTATAGGACACAGGTTCGAATCCTGTCGAAGGACGAATATTTTCAATGAATATTTCTCGGACATTCAGGTCAGTAAATGTTTAATACTGTTTATTATAAAAAAGAGCATTTACTTAAATATTTGTACCTATAAGAAGAATGTATAAACATAAAAATGTCTTAAAATAATTGTCGGACTTTGCCCATTTCATAATATATATATATATATATATATATAATCATATCAGTTCATGCAAGGTAACCTATTAGACACAAAGGGAATGTATACAAGAAATAAAAGAGAAAAATTAGTGAACGATAAGAATAGAAGTGTAATAAAGTCTAAAAAGCAATTGACATTCCATTTAAATTTTTGTAGATCAAAGTTGGCTAGAACTCATGGTGCCGGAAGAGAGTTCCACAAGCGAGAACTGCGAGAAATGAAGCTGTTAGTACAGAACATATAGATACGTGCAGCCAATTCAACTGTGAATTGATGAGACGTTAGCACCAATGTAGTACCGCGCTTAAATTCATAAAGTCTAGGTACGATAGCAAAGCGTTACTCCGAACAGTTACAAGCAAGTATTTATAGGAAAATCACAAAGAAGCTACAGTACGGCGGTGGGAAAGTAACTGAAGCCGAACGCAAGATCGGGGCCAATAATATTGCTGATTTTAATCAAGAATATCTAAATATACAGTAGAAACAATGGACCAGACGTGTTAGCAATATATATCAACACAGCGTTATCAAACCCACAATCTCTGAATACGTGATCATCAATCATTAAAAATTGTAGTTTCCTGGAAAATCTCCCACCGAAAACTTCATCATCACAACGTAGAAGTTTTTCTCTCCTTTTTTTCATTAAAAAAATATATTTTCTTCACATATCTGCCGTCATATTTCACTCGACTTGATCGATCTGTTTATTCGCATTTGTATAAAAAACAAGTGTTATATTAACACTGAAGAAAGCCTATCTCGTCATCGCCATTACAGTACATTTTTATCCCTTTTTTTATTGTTTTACGATGTTTTCCTATGTAATTTCCTCTCTCTCGCTCGCCCACTCTCTCTGTCTCACTCTCTCTCTCTTTCTCTCTCTCTCTCTCTCTCTCTATATATATATATATATATATATATATGCCGGTTATTCTTTATTCTCTTCAAGAAAATGTGCTGAATGAAAAAAACAACGCGTAAACAAACACTCACATACCTACATACAGACAAAAATGCATACATACATATACACTTCCATTTCTCTTCGTATTCGATTAACATCTCTTCTCAAGACACAGGCAACCAAACACATACGCACACACACACATGAATAGAGAGAAGAGGAAAAATATACTTAGCTGAGTCGTTTCGTCCTCTGAGAGACTTCAACAAGTTTTATTTTGTTGCATGTGTTTATATACAAGAGCAAGGATGTCATTGTTTTTTCAAGGCTCTTATATTTGAGAATGTTCATGAATATTTATCTGGTTGGTCGGTCAGAACGTATGGAAGACACAAAGTGTCATAATTCAAAGTTTGGTAAGACAGCAGTAAGCGACTAATATTCAAAACATATTTATTTTTTTATCAAATGAATATTGTTTAAATTGTGATCAGATATTTATGGTTTGCGATGGGCGTATGTATATATATAGCTGGAGTTCTTCAACGTGGTGTAATGGTTATGAAGTTTGTCTTGCTAGATCAATAACGACTGCATTTTTCCTAATCTCCTTGGATGGATAATGGTAAACTTAGTTGCTGTCGTGGTTAAACAGAAGAGGTTATAAAACTTAATAATTATTAAATCGAGAAAGTGGGTTCAAACATTTGACCTATACTATTTTTGCGAACACTCGTTGCCACTTTTGTGATGTCAACGAATACTCGTTTTCACTATCGTAATGCTCGTTGTAGTAGAGACTTTGTAATCGCAGATACAACTATATTACGCCTCTGAACAACATTGGTGTGAGATGCTTTCGAATATCACTTGTTCTAATAGTACTTGCTCGATAATCAGTCAGTTATGTGCTGTGCGTGAGACACGCTTAGGCGATCATGTATCTTTCGATACATGACTGACGAAGGAGATTTTTTCCTGCAGTAGGTTGCCATTTCTTTCTGAGGTAGACCAGTTGCCATCGAAGGCTATAGAACCCGGTCTCTCCTGTTATTTACCCATAGCTGGGGAGAGAAGAAGAGGATTCATATATTTCCTGAAAGTATTAACGCATAAGTGAATGTAATGGATTCGACTGGAATTCGAACTCGACACTTCAATTCCTCAATTCGAGCCGCTATCCATTACTCCTCCGTGCTCGATAATACACACCCGAAAAGTAACCACCGTATATTGATCAGAATAGAGAAATAGTATAGCGAATATAGTAGAGAATAGCAGCCCGTATAGTAATAGAGGATAGACTAGAAATGACGATCATCCAGACGTCAAACGACTTCCTGTATATATGCGTTTCCTCTATGGTCACGTGGTCTACTTAATTCAGTAATGAAATCGCCTGTGTTTGCTCACTGGCGATCTATGTTCAAACACCAGTGTCAGCAGCGACACTTAATTCCTATATAACAAGTATATATATCACAGACGCCATGATAATGATTGCAATAGTCTAAAGTGCTTAAACAAAAATAAAATATGAATTTCAGACAGTTTATCAATACTTCTAGTTCAAACGTCTACAACTTATGGGAAAACTGTAAAAAACAATATAGCAAAAAATTAAACAGACAAACCGTTATGAATATTTGCTGCCTAAATATCCCTTAACCCAATATATATATATATATATATATGAAAGGAAAAAACAAAACACATCGCGAAAAATCCTGTAATAAATTTATTTCAGCAGGTAAGTTTTTAATATAAATAATATGTTAAATTTAAAAAAAAAATAAGTCACAAGAGAACAAGTTTAAATGGCTTGACCTAGAAAAATTTACCTGTGAATTTATATTATTGAAGAGATGTATGTATGTATATATATATGCGTATAGGTCG